CATGAAATAATTACCGCATTTTACTGTATTAACAGGTCATGTCGAAGCGTAGTTTACGCACGGTTACCGCGTTCTACGCATTCACAACATGTTCACAGCGGTCAATATCACGCTGTATCATATAAAAACGATTACCAAGATTCGTTACGCAAGACCAAGTTTTAAATTAGTTGCATTTTGAAGAGGTGGGCGCTTTGCCGAATGTGATCCCAAATATAAAAATTGCGCAAAAGTGGGGGGTGGACGCTTGCCCGGGCATGGGCGCTAACGCGGTCGAGTACGGTAATAGGCTAATAACTAATCACTTCTGTTGATTACCCAGATCATCAAGTATCAAGTTTCATTGCCATCAGATGAGTGGTTATCTGTAGAAAATCTAAAAATAGGCTAATTTTTGTGAATTATAGAAATGTACACATGACATCACACAACTTGTGATGGGGCTGCAGAAAAACCATCTAAAACAAATTTACAGTATAATTTTGTTACAAGTAGGGTATGGGCAATTAACAGCCACTTTTAGAGCCTTAGACAAGTAAACACTCATACAACAACTTAATCCCGCACAACTACATGTATTTTTACAACTGCTTATTAAATAATTTTTACAGGAAATATAATTGTGCAGAAACAAGCAAACTTATAGGCAGGCTTTGGTTTTGGTGAATACATGAACTATAACTAACAAACCATGCATGGTACAGTCCTCATTAGTTATCAAATTTAAAATATATTGTTTTGGTTATAATAATATATCCAGAAGCTGCTGTTTGATTATGGTGATTTTTTATTAAAATGATTGACATTCAGTCATCTGATATTTGAGAGTCAAATGAGTACATGTCCTTATTAAGATTTTATACTTTGGAAAAGCATTAATTGACACAAAATGGCCATCGGGTGGCCATCTTGAATCTGATCTGGAAAACAAACTGACATGCATCAAAGTCCTATAATGTATTACAATAATTATTACAAGCCATGCATGACACAATTCCCGTTAGTTATCGAATTTAAGATGTATAGTTTTGTTTATAGTAATATAGCTGGAATATAAACATGTCAGGAATATGATTATGATGATTGTTTACCATTTAAATGATTGAAATTTGTGTCTGATCGTCAAACGAGTATTGAGAGATACCAAGTTTGAACAAAATCCATCCATAAATGTCAGAAATGCTTGATGTTTGATGATTTTTCAGCACAAAAATGGCCACCATTCGACCATTTTTAATTAGGATCGTCAAACCAATATATCTGTATATCTATGACATGATGTATAATTTAAAATTTGAACATAATCAGTCACAGCAAGTCAGAGATATGGCACTAGAACCACATTTATTAAAACAAAATGGCCACCAGTCGGTGTGCATCAAGGTCCTTCCTATAATGTCCAACAATAAGTTTGAACAAAATCCATCTGTAGACAGCCAATTTGATAATTTTTAGAACAAAAGTGGCTGCCATTCGACCATCTTGAATCAGATCATGAAACAAATTGATGTGCATATGTATAATATCATGTATGATGCATGTGTGAAGTTTGATTGTGATTGGTAGAGGCATGTCTAGATACAGGTCTGGACGCATGCACAGACGCATGGAGGTCAAAAATAAGTCTAAAAATATTATTTATGAATGTAATTGATCAAGGCATGTCTAATATGGATGCACATACAGAGGTCAATCCATAAGTCCCTGAACAGGCACGAATAATGGCTTACCTGACTAAGGTGTATGGGTCCATTACCTTCTCCAAATTCATCTGTAATATCAACAATAGCAACACTGAAGCCCAGTTGTTTACAAGCGACAGTGGCACTGTTTGTAGTCCACCCCAAAGAACAAATCTACAACGAATAAGATATTATATAATATTATATTATATTATAGTAGCTTCGCAGTAAGTGGCTTTCGCGGTAAGTGGCTTTCATATCTGGTGGGTTTCGTGGGGAGTAGGGCTTTGTCACAGTAACTGGTCTTTTCATCGTTGTTGAGAATTAAAGTTTTATGTTTTTTTAACAACTTGCGCTATTCTGGGAATACCATCCTCAGAAGCTACTAATTTGCCCTTATGATTTGTACAGTTGCTCTGGCAGAAGTTCCATAATAAGACCCATGCTCTGATAATGCCCATAGTTTCAAAAACCAAGAAACATCATTATGATCTTATTGCAAAGGATAGTTGAATATTGTTTATTAAAATTACGAATCTCCATAACCGTTTTCCAATATGGATAAATTATAGTATGTAACAAATGTATAATAAAGAAATGTATATATATATATATATATATATATTTACATTATTAGTAATGCATTGCAATAGAACTAATTAAAATTGAAAGAAATTGCAATATAAAATATTCCATCAGTAACACTTTTCAAGGGCGTGTTTTACGGTCAGTGTTATTTACAAAAATATCTGTTTATAATTTTATAAATTGACTTGGCAATACCCACCGCAATTAGATATAATGTGTACATATTTTAATAATTTAAATAAAATTAAAGATACACTAACAAAAATGAAATATGAATTATTTTATTATATATTATTAATTAACCTGCACAAAAGTAATCAATATTTTTCCTTGCTAGATGTGTAACTTCATATGGGAATCCTGATAAAGTTCACAGCTGGCGATTTAGCAATACCGGTATCAGGGATAGTCAACTTCTTGTGAATTTGATTACCTAACGATGTTAGGTTCATGTGCTGCAAATTATAGAGCACGTACCTAAGCGACTGTTCCTCAGCAAATAATTACGCCAAGGCATTTTCAATGTCGAAATCGCAAAGTTTGAATTACTAAATGAAGTACAGGACTGAAAGCTGAAATATCCAGGAACCAACACATACCAAAAATTATATGTCAAAAGTGTATATTTGTGGTGTATTTTAAGTCTAACCATGGTATAAACCAGGTATAAACCTCCATTGTCTAACCGAACCGGAAGTGGAAATTTGTTAGTACTCTAAATATCTAAACATATTTTAGTATAATGTAGTATCAACTTGTCAATAACTATGGGATTATTTGTAAGCATGAGATTGTTATGTGAATTTCATTCATTAATAAAATACCGTGCGATGACGCTATTTTCAGGGCCTAACTGATTCAGACTCCTATAATGACTATGTCCCGGACTGTTTACCAGTACTTACTTACTTGTCAGTGTCTGACTGTTTTATACAGCCCAGAACACGTAAGAATAGTAAAAAAAGTCAGGAAATGTCAGTTGCCCATGCCTTGAGAGCCATAAAACCAAAACAATCTGTCACCCTTCATCGCCCACAGCATCAATATGATTTTATATTGCATAGAAATGAACACTAAATGCAGGTAAAAGGTCGAGGCAAAAAATAGGATTAGTTATTTATTAGAGGCGCCGGCAAAACCCAAATTTGGCAAGTGAATCACTCCAGCGGCGAAAAATCAGTGATACTTGTAATAAGCACAGTCCCTGTGTAATAACCAAGGTATGAGAGACTATTTACCAAATCCAAAATTTAGCGTTTCCAAGGTTGTTGAGGTAAAAAAAAAAGAAATAAAAAAAAAACGATTTTTGACCAATCATCCATTTTTTGGGTGATATATCATTGATTCAGCCCAGCGGTAATATAGCTTACAAAATGTATATATTGCTGCAAGTTACAGAGCACATACCTAAGCGGCCGTCCCTCAGCAAATAATGAAGCAACTGGGAAGTTTGAATTACTAAACGAAGTACAGGACCACAAAGATGAAATATCCAAGAACCAACACATACGAAAAATTATATCTCAAAAGTGTATATTCGTGGTGTATTTTAAGTCTAACCGGACCAGAAGTGTGGATTTGTTAGTACTCTAAATATCAAAACATATTTTAGTATAAGGTAGTAATAACTCATACCTACCAGAATAGACCTATTAGAACATTATAGACCTACCAACATCATGCAGTTATGCTGCACCAACCAAAAATTGTCTTTTAGTTTGTAATTTTAGACTAGAAACTCTAAGCCAGCTAGTTTACACCTCGTTTGTTAATATTTTGGGGGCTGCATAGGGGACCATCTTATCAGTCTGTTAGCCATTGTCTAATTTTTGTGTACGATGGTCCTGTGGTGTGCCCAGCTCATATTTGGTAAATAAATTATTGTTTCATGTACATGCTCTCGTGTTTGTGCCATAATTTGACATCAAGGTCAAATAACCAAATTGACATTAAGTCTCTCTCCAAGAAACAGTTTTGGATGTAGATATTATTAATGTAGGAATACAAAAATGTAGGTGTAGTCACACACACAAAAAAAATAAAAAAAAGCCACTGGTTGCCATTGCCAATGGCCATTTTTGATTGAATTTAAAAAAAAATTGACATGCACCTGTAACCAAATTATGAATGTTCATTATACAAAGTTCAAACTAAATCGACCTCATATAACACAAAAATATCCGAATCAGGTAGTATTCAAGAAGAAGGCAAAAATGCAATTGTTGATGAACGACGAACAATTGACAATCACCTACATAAACAGCTTTGCTCTGTCATCTACTGGGTGATAGATTCTAACATAAGTATTGATATTCAAAATTTAGAGACTTACTGTTCCCCACTCATGATCATGATAAATCTGCAATCTACCCTGGTAATCATCATAATCCAGTGGTCCATCTACAACACGTAAAGAA